TGGTCTGATAACATTTTGTGAAAGAAACCGCCTTCTTTACCAGCAACGCCTCACAACCCACTGCAAGTAGCCTGGACAGATAGGGGCTTCTGATGGCTAAACCAGGCTTGGCTGAGTGTACGTTCCTCTAAGAAAATAAAACTGCTCATGACAGTTCTGGAAGAAGTATGTTCAAATGCTGTAAAGAACTTTCATTTTTTGGCACTTTTACCCCTGAACCTCTGAGATAAGAGTTTCATGCCAAGGTCCCTATTCTTAGGTTAACAACACTCCAACTATTGCCAAGAATTTTGCCACTCTGGGTTATTCTGTTTTCCTAAGGTACATTTATTTCATGAGCCTCATAACAACCATGTTTCCAACAACTTAAAATAGGTTTAAAACTTTGAAAGCCTTTCCTGTATGTTTCAGGTTCCTGTTTGTTCTTATATAGGAACAAGTCTTGCTTAATCCTTTTTATAGTTCTTGGCCACATTTCTTGGATTAAGATATTTTATAACAGGAAGAGGCACAGAGGCACATATACTAAACCAGCATAACCTTTTGTTGTGAACACCAAGATGCAAAGATTAAAAGCCTAGATCCACCCGGCACAGGCTACATAAACAGCAATAAATCAATATTTTCCACAAACATAATACTTCCATCCAGTGAAAAAATGTGGAAAACACATTTCAGTGCTTTAATTGCACTTCATGTTGAATTTTTTTTTCATGTGCTAATTAAATACATCTCTAATCTCTAAGACATGAATGAGGCTTGGCACCAAGAAGCTACTGTATTTGACACTTAGAGACAACAGTGCTAATAAAGCATGTCAGTTAAGAACCTGGGTAGTGACATATCCTTAACACCACCATTACCACTATCATCACCAATATCAGCATCATCCCCATTGAACATTTATGGCTGTTTATTGTGCAGTATGCAATATATTCCAAAGGCTGTAATCAACTTTGAGTTTCCCATAAATTCAATGTATATTTATATGGTATCACTCCTACTTTGGAATGTATACAATTAGTAATTTCTACTTGCAATTTATTAAGGAGGAAAGAATTGTATGTACTATAATGAGTTCAGGGCTGAGGATGTAACTCTGATAGAGTATATGATTTAAGCATGCCAGGTCCTAGCTTGGGTCCTCACAACAACAACAACAGATACAGCGAGACCATGTTTAATTCTAAGTATTAAAACATGAAATCAGTGAGAAATTCAAGAAATAGCTTCTTTGCACGATTCTAACAATTCTTTCTAGTTGCTAGAAATAGGACAAAACAAAATCTAAATACTATAGATAAGAAAATGATCGAGCTCTTTATAGTCAGATGAAGTTACATATTTGTTAAAGCCCTTTTCAGGATGGGTTACATTTGACACAGTCTTCCTTACAAGTGTGGGCTTAACGTTAATTATTTCTTTAATTTTTGAAATTCATACTGGCTTCCCCAATATCTCTAAATTAATAACAATGCCAGGCTTGGCTTATATGGCTATACTTTTATCGCAAGTAATGTAAGGTTCTTTCTTTTGTATTTGTAACAATTAAAGAAAATGAAATGGTTTGAAGATATTTCAGTGGTTCTTCCACAAGGCAATATGTTTGCAGCTTCCTGAGTCTATTTCTTCAAGTGAGGGATGAGCACCCTTTTTTCTAGGCCATCTGGATCTACCATACCCTTCACCATGGACAAGAAGAAATACATTTTATGTATATTGCTGACCTAACAATACTCATGAATGTCGGAAGAGATCACAGTGAACAACCTCAGTTATTGTGGAGGAGATGTATATTGTGATCACATACTTAGGTTATTCTAAACTCTTCCTGGTAACCAAAGTAGGAATAGCTGGGAGCTGGACACTGTGTAGACAGAAAGACCGCACGGAGGCAACACTGCTGTGTGGATGGTATCATACACTATCTTAGAATATCTACCAATTTAATTGGATGCCATTAATATTATGTAGATACCATTATACATTTGCAAGAACACAGGTATTGATAGTCACCTACTGTTTTACAAGCTATGAATAAACATATTAGTCAAGAGCTCTACTGTGTTGAATCTGAGGTCACTCTCAAACAGAGAATGAACTCAATTTCAAGGGTCTAAATCCTAGAAGACAGGGGCCAACTAAACCCAGAGGTCAAGCAGTAACTAAAGGACATGTAACTGAATAGCAAAAAATGATTATCTTTTTGATGGCTTTCAGGCTTGCCCTTATTATTATTTTATGTTTACTCATCTATATCCAGAGCATAAATTGGTAGTAAAAGTAATTAGTATTTGGCTTTCAAAGGTTTAGAAGCTGATCATACATTTTTCATATACCCTTGTAACATATCTCTGGGAGCAAAGAGACTACCTTTTCTTGATTTTTTTCTATTTAGTTATCAAATTTCTTCAACAAGTTCATAATTCAAAATAAGAGAAATGACTCATGCATGGTAATATTAAAAGTAGGAAATGTGAACAAAGAAAAACAGAACAAAAACAAAAATGGCCAATCCAAACAGGAAAACAGGAAGGTAAACCTGAAATTAAGGAATTGACAACAAAATTTAAAACGTTGGGTGCTTAACTGTCCCTTTATTTCTCCCTCTTCTATTACCTAGGAACTAATCACAAAACTCTGCTTTTAAAGTACCATACAGGTTTCTTTAGCCATCATCAAAGACTTCTCCCTGCTTCTTTCTGACCTTGTCTCAGGCAATTCTGAAATCCATACTCCAAATTTCCATCCATCTAAACACAACGATAATCTACTCTCAACAACGTGGAACATGAAAAGCATCATAAGGAAATCAACTTTACTAATGTCTAAAAAACATGGTAAGACTAGATTAATAAGTATTTTTAGAATTTTTAAAGTCTATGTGATCCTAGAAGAAAAATGTCATCTATATTTCAAAACTTACCCATGCAATTGGACTTAATGTAACATGTAAAGTTAATCTATTACTTATTGCATGCAGAACTATTAAAGTAAAACTGTCACAGAAGGACTAGAGAGGGTAAGTAAACAGACTAATCACGTGTGCTTTTGGAATAGTTCCCCTTTGTGGTTGGGTTAGAGGAAAAATATCTCAGGGAAATAGTGAACCAAAACTTACAGACATCACTATGCTGGCTCTACTAGGCAATCCTAAAATAGCTAACATCCTGCTGTGGCAGATAATAACAAACACTGGTGAGACTGCAGGTGAAAGGAACTTCCTACATTGTTGGTGTTCATGTAAATTGGTACAACCCCTGTGGAAATCAATATGTATAGTCTTTAAAAAACTAAAATTAGAAATTCCATTTGATCCTGCTATTCCCCTTCTAGCTATTTTTCCGAAAGAGTTAAAGACATCATATTACAGTAATACACACATACTCATGTTTATAGCAAGACAACTTATAGGAGTTAAATCTTGGAATCAGCCTATATGTCCATCAATAGATGAATGGATAAAGACAGTGTGACATTTATACGCAATAGGGTACTACTCTCCCATAACAAAAGACAAATTTGAGTCAGTTGTGGGGAAAATAGATATACCCTGAGACCATAATGTTAAGTGAAACAAATCAGACACATATTTAAATATCACATGATTTTTCTTATATGAGAAACCAAATTGTAAATAAAGAGCAAATTAAAAGATAGATAATAGGAAGTAGGTAGATAGATCTTTCTCAAATGGGGAGAGATCCAGAGATGAAAGGTAAGAGGGAACGGGACAAAAAAAAGAAAAAAGGAATTAAGATATGTTATATACATGAACCAATATGTGTGGCAAACATGTACTAATAAAAAAATTTAAAAAGAAACATCAAGAAAATTTGTAATTGTCAGATGAATTAGAAACCTTAGAAGTGAAGAGCTGACAGATGATACGGATAATCCTAATGAGTTTACAGTAACCCTCAATCTCATTTACCAAAAATAAGTTAAATCCACTTATAAACATGCATGTGACCTTTTTCCTTGATGAAAAAAAAGTAGTTCTATAATATACAACAGAAACACCCTCCTCCCACTTTTTGGCTACAAAGACAGCAGGAGAAGGACCATAATTCTCAGTAGCCAACTAAAAAGCAAAATAGCCCACTGGCACTATCATCTATTATAAAGTATTGTTTATGTGGTTCAGTTGGGAATTTTGAACTTAAAAACTGGGTATATTTGTTACACAGCACGAGCCTAGCTAATCAGGTCCTACCCTTTACACACTAAGACATGCAAGTGACATGAGCTAGAACTTAAAACCGTGTTTCTATAGTAGAGACAGAAACCCCACTTTCTCTCCTGAAATCCCTGATTTGTGAGGCAAGGATTTAAGTGATAGCCAGAATCTGGTCAAAGCAGCCAGCTGCAAAATCGAAAATCAAGACCTTAAAATAACCAATTTCCCTAACTTCTGGGATACTTGAAGGCATTAACATCTTATGTATAATCAGTAACTCAACCTGAAGTACCATGCTATCCTCAGCCAACACTGGTCTGATTTAGTGGGCTATAAAGACAGTAAGCTTTCTGTCTCATCTTTCTTAAGATGGTCTATGGAGAATTGGTTCAATCAGCCCTTGGGAGCAAAGGCCAGTGGTATCCACAACCCCTAAAGACCAGTAAGGCTTGATTTGTTCCAATTCTCAATTTTTTCCCTTCCTTTCCTCTTTTTTCTCCCCAGTCCACATGAATACCTAAATATAGTATATATACAATATAGAAGCACAAATTAAACATAGAGTATAAATGATGCCATGTAAATAATTTTCTTTTAAAAATCTTGTCATATTTACATTCAGGGAAGTTTACTACCAAGAACAATTACTGAAGACAGTACAAACTTTTTTACAAAACACATTTCTTAAATGACTCCTATGTGAGTTACTTCAAAAAGTTATCAGGAATTGTAAAATGGAAAAAAAATGATAGACATGAAGGTATAACTATCTTGTATTTCTCATCACTGAATCTGATTACAACTTTTACAGTTTACCTACCTCAAATTTAAGTAGGTCAGCATCTGCAGATTAATGATAGCCTCAGGAATGACTCTGATACAATTATGATACAGATTAAGAACTTCCAGTGATACAAAATGGCACAATTCCATTGGAACTTCAACCAGTCTGTTTTTAGACAAATCTGTAAGAAAGGGAAAGAATATTTTGTTAATAAATCTTCAATATACTCAGAACAATCTTACCATGAATACTATTTTCCTTAATATTATAGTCTAAATTTAGATCAACATACAGCATTATGATTTCCATTTCCTAGCCAAATTCAGGAACACTTGGGATACAGAAAGCAGAGGATTGTTGTAACTTTTTAATTCTCTAAATTAATTTGTTGATCTGGCCACATAAGGAGAACATTTTACTTACTTGAAAAATTATGCAGTGTGCTAGAAAGACATAATCAATGTTTACAGTTTTAAAAAATTTTATTACAGTAAAAGACATAGTGCCAACAATGGCCCTCAAAATACTGTACACTCTTTCCTGGAACATCCTTATCCCATTGTTCTTGCCACTTTCTTGAAGCAGTTGTGGAAGTCTTCTCTCATGAGTCTTTAGTTGTGCTGTAGTGGCTACCTTAATGTCTTGAACTGATTCCAAAAATTTACCTTATGTGGTCATTTGGACTTCAGAGAAGAGCCAGAAGTCACATAATGTCAGATCAAATGAATAAGGTGGATGAGGGTACATCAGTAATAATTTTACAAGCTTGTCTTTCCATTGGATGGCTCTTGACAATAGCATTCACTAATTTTTGATTGTACCTCATAAAAACAAATGGACTAATTCACTAATTTTTTATTTCACCTCATAAAAACAAGCCTAAAAGTGGACTTCCAAAACTGATTCATTTTTCTTTAAACACACATCATATTTTTTGGTCAATCTTTGTATCTCAAACTCAGTCTAACCTAGGCAATTATGTAACATTCTATCCTTTAACATACATGAATAAATAAGCCAAGTGTGGTGGCACATGCCTGTAATGAGGAGTGTCCTCAGGAGATAAATACGCATGGCCAATATAATTGCCAAACACCAGGAAACACTGAATACAAGGAAAGAGCTGCCACTCTTATGAAAAATGACCTAGCCCCTCAAGCCATATGAGCTGAGGTTTTTCAGTAAATAACATGTAACACAGACTTAAGGAACCACATCCTGACCAAGGCAGGGGGCAGAAATTTAAATAGGTGGATGTGGGCACATCAGTAATAATTTTAATCCACCTTAATATTGCTGACAAAACAGAAGTTTTCCCTCCAACAAATGAATACACAAATAAAAACAGGATTAGATGATTCAGAGAGAACACTGTGGCAAAATTTAAAGAATAATTTCAATATGTTTAAACTATTCCAACTCATTTAAAAACAAGAAAGATTTCCAAATTCCTATTTTAAATATAAGCGGTCTTATTTATTTAAAAAAGAGAGAAAGAGTAAAATACCTAGAAAATCTTAAGAAACAAAGTTTACATGAAAAAATTTTAAAATGCAACACAAAGTTAAACCAATTGAAGATATTATCCCTGCAAAAGACTTAACATCCAAATGGTGGCAATTCCAAGTTATCTCTATATAATGTAACGCATTCCTAATTTTAAAAACTCTTTTTGTTGTTTTTTAATTGCTGGAGTTATTAGACAAGTTAAATCTAAGTACGCATGGTAAGACTGGTACCTCTCCGAAAGCCTGCGAGGGGAACAGCTCTCCCAGATATTAAAACACATCATAATGCAGTGTGTACACAAATGGAAAATCAACAGAACAAATTACAAAGGAGAGGAAATGGTTAAAGATGGAAATAAAGGTTCACAATAAAGGTCACACTTCAAATCACAGGTCTTCCAAAGAACGGCATGAAGCAAGATTGATAAACCTGACCCACAAAAACAAAAGTTAGAGCCCTTTAAAATAAAAGTTCTACCATAAACATAAATGATAAGCAAAGAATTAGGGGGTATCCTTTCATTAATGAACTAAATAGAATAATCTTTTATAACTATAAAGAGCTGCTTGCAGTGTAGCTCAGGGTTAAAGCCCTTATCTAACATGTGTGAAGCCCAGATTCATTCCCAACATCCCCAAACCCCAACCCCACATAATGAATAAGGCTGAAAACCAGAAAAAGGGAAAAAGGTGGCTCACGGGAAAGGAACCACAAATGGCTCTAAAGAAAATAAAACAGATAATAGGAAACAGGGAGACAGATCTTTTGCAAATGGAAAGGGGACAAAGGGATGGAGGGATGCGGAGAGAAAGGGGATGTAAAAATAACTGAGGTATGTCATGTACATGTACCAAAGATATTCACTATGTATTGCAAACACGTATAAATACATACACATACATATAAATAAATGAATGTCGGTGTTCTTACAGTGGTCTACAAGGCCGTATGCAATCTGCTATCTTCCCTACTTCTCTGCCCTCGTCTCCTACTTCTCTCGCCTCGCTCACTTCACGTGGCCTATGCCAGCATCCTGACTGCTCCTCAAACACACTAGGAACACTGCCATTTTAGGCCTTTGGGACTGGTTATTTCCTCTGCTAGAATATTCTTTTCCTAAATACCTGTTTGGTTTACCCTTTTCCAGCCTCAGATATTTACCCACATCTCTATTTCTCAAGGAGAGTTACCTGACTCCTCTTTTCCACACACTCCAGATGTATCATCTTAGTTTTAACATGTTAAATAACTTACTCATTCTTATTAATATTTGTCTTCCTCTACAAGAATATGATCACCACGAGGACTGAGGTCTTTTCCTGACTTCTCTACTGGTTTATTCCAAGCACACAGAAAAGTGAAAGCTTGGTGGTTATAGAAAGACACAGTATTTATTACATGATTGACTGATTATTACATAAATGAGAATGAATAATTGTATTCTCTGTAAAATAATGTTTGCTTGCTCTTTTCATGGCCTTGAATTTATATTGCAATTTAGTTTATCTTAAAGGGCAATAATACGTGTAACATAAAAAAGGCTTTTAAGCATATGGAAAAAAATGAACAAACTTAAATGCAAATTACAACAGCACAGAACAGTATTTCTCACCTATTAGATGTGTGAATATAAAAAATTTAATGGACATATCGTAATACTAATGACACGAGCAGTGGGAAACATGTATATGAAGACATTTATTTTAGCAACATCAGTCAAAATTACAATTGAGGGGCACAAGGAGATATAGAGAGGTATACACAAAGAGTACAAAGTTACATAGTCACATAGAATAAGTAATGGAGCAGGCAGCTTGAGGACTACCAATTAATAATACTGTATTAAATACTGGAGATTTGCTGAGAGCAGATTTTAGGTTCTCTCACCACACACATACACACACACACACACACACACACACACACAAAGGGAACCATGTGGGATGGTGAATATCTTAATTTCCTTGACCACAGTGACCATTTCACTAGGTTTATCAAAACAGTGTGTTGTATACCTTAAGTATAAACATTAAAATACACGAATGTACATATACTTCAACCTAGCAAACTTTATCTATCTACAGACATACATGAGCAAACAACATATTTTTTAGCAAAGTTTGAAATAATTTAAGATAGCAATTTAAATATCAGTGGAGGGGTGGCTAAATATTCATACACTATTAATAATTATGATAAATAAGATTAAATCACCAATAAATATGAATATTAATTCCATAATTTCATATGGAATGGAATGTTAAATATCATCTTCCACAATGGAATACTCATAATGTACCTACCAAACGACTTAGGCAGCTCTGTATGCACTATGGAACAACAGTATGGAACAATCTCCAAGACATACCACAAATGTTTGTAAAAGGCTAGGTTCAGAACAATGCATACAGCATTTGTATATTTTAGTGGACATTTACATATTTAGTTATAAAGTATGTCTGGTGAGGTATACAAAAACTGGTAGAGGTAGTGGTTTCTAGAGAGAGGACCTCTAGCTGAGGCTAGGAGTGAGTGAGAAGATGACTTCTCAAGTTGGTACCTTCAGAAACTTGAACTCATTGCTTATATTTCAAATATACAAAATAATATGTATCAATATTTTCATCAGCATCCCTATAGTGTCTCTACACAAACAATTTGTTTTATTTCAAAAAAATTAAGAAGGGAGAACTGTTAAGTCCCTTGTACTAAATTAAGGGAAAATTTGAAGCAAGCTTCTATGACGAAAATAAAAAATCCAGAAGTCACTTGAAATTCTTTACTAGATGTGAGGACCTTCACGTGCTACAAAGCTGGAAATTTCCCAAGAAAATATGTATTGTTTCCTTCAAAGAATCCCACTGAAATGTATACAGAAACAGCTATAGTGTACAGTCTGGTGTTTCCATTACTACTTAAAGTAATACTACAACAAATTTGATTTGTTCTCCGTCCTTATTAACTTCCCCTTCACACTCTCTGAGACTGAGGAGAAAGTTCAGCACTTTTTCTTCCCATAATTACTTCCCTGGGAATCTGACCTACACCCTAGAAGCCGATAGGGCTATGCTGAGGGCTCCTTGGAGCCTACGCAGAGAAGGGGTAGTGTTGTCTGCTGGAAGGAGAAGGAAGTACACCAGACAAAACCTTCACTACTCTGATTTTAAATTGCACCCAATCTCTTATCTTTAATTCTTATGTTCATTTGTGTTATTCCACATACACTTTGTCAGGAATTCTTTTTTGAAATAACTTGGGCTACGCATTACAAATGATCGAGTTCTAAGGTGTTAACAGTGAGCACTTGCCATACCCAGTCTTATGCTGTGCACCACATGAACAGACTGAGTTACTGAGAACGTAACTGTCCCAGGGACCCTCTAACACTCTGCGTTTATGAGCATGTCTACATTAGAAAGGAAGGAACTGTGTTACAGAGTGTAAACACTGCCTAGATTCTTCCAATTCCTATACAAAAAGTTGCCTAGATCAGCACTGTTCCAATTAAAACAAAACTGAAAAAGAGAAAAGAAAAAGCTTTCCTTTTTTTGTTTGAATTAATCATACGGTGAATTATTACTTGTTCATTAACACTTCCCAAATATATAGTTTCTCCAGAAAAGAAAAACCATACAGGCCTACTTGCAAGGAGTTTAAACCCTAAAGGACCAAGATGAAGCAAGTCTAGAATGAAGCAAAAGGCAGGAAGCCTCTAACTGTATTTTCTAAAAGGTCCAGTTAAAAGAGAGATAAAATACAGCTGTCAAAGTCCACCATTCATGGAGCAG